GGATTCGGGTTGAGGATAACACGAATGAAAAATACTCCAAAAAAGTTGGATGAAACATGAAATCTCTAAAAAGATAACATCACAAGAAACCTAAATAAGCCGGCGAGAGGGATCAAAAAATAGATGCCCCTTATGAATATACTATATCCTAAAATACACAACAAACAATTTTGGAAGTTAATTTAGTACATTCTCCGTGAGGAATAAGAAAAAAGCATATGCATCCAAATACTCGAAGACGACTATAATATGAATGACGAGAAAACAAGACAAAGAATGGACTACGCTGGTCAAGAGTAGAAGTAATCTAATAATTTATCAATAGAATTATGGTAGCCAGAGTTTCGGACTAAAATGGGAGGAACATGTGAGGCTAAAAGTAAGGCTTGAGTATGCTCAAGGACATGGCAATTTTTCCTTTCAACTAATCCATTATGTTGGGAAATTCTAGGACAAGATCTTTGGCTCAAAATGTTGCAAGATGGATACAAGTTTTATACAAGAGTTGAACTAAACTCTCCTCCTATATCAAATCTAATAACCGAATGGTTCTATCAAACTGTCTTAATCATGTCAACAAACTCAATAGCTACAAACAAAAGATCAGACTTGAGATGAAAAGGTAGATCGATGTATAACACATGGCGTGGTCGATGAGCAGTTTTAGCCTCGACATAACTAGCACACCGAATTTTGGAGGAGCTACCAATTATTTTTCTACCAAATAAATTATGTTTTTTTTATGAACAAATAAATTATGTTTAAACATGGTTAAAAAACAAAGAGAACTTGGATGACCCAAACGATAGAACCAAAGATTGAAAATAGTATCAAACTTACTCAAAAAAAAAAAAAAAATTGAAGGACGATAAGACAAAGGTTGAACAAAAAAAGAAGACATAGACACTAACTATAAGGAGACACATACTGGCAAGAAAGCCCCTTCAATTAGAATATCCTTGCTTGTTTACTTTCCCTACTAATCTGTCTACTAATCTGTCTCTCGATCTTCAAATCCTGAATAAAAGAACCAAATGGTCCAACACAACACGACAATCCTCTTTGGCAAGCTCTCCAATTATATAACTATTTGGAATTAGCACGACATCCAATACAACTCTATATTATCATGTTTAACTAACCCAACACCTTAAACACTTGCTACTTGAAGATAACCATTCTTTAACTGGAACCACATTACATAGAGGAAGAAATGAGAAGAGGGCAAAATGAAACCTTTTTTTTTTATTCATAAACAAACAAGGGTTTTGGCTAAAACTCCTCAATGCAATTGCCATGATTTTTAAACAAGATATTTGAGGGTTATCAAAAAATTTAAATTTGTCATCCAAATGACTCATAATTAAGTTGCGAAAGGAAAATTATCGGTGGTGATTAGCGAAGGGACATTCATTCAATGCGGTAGCGTGAGGAGTGGTTGCCTTCCTTTCCTTGCCTTGATATTTTGTGCTGCACCCTACACTCCCAACACACTAGCTAGTACTACACTAGGCGACACTTTGCTCGTGTGGACTTTGGATCACATCTATGCATCTCTCTCTCTCTCTCTTCACCCTACTTGTTTTTTATTTTATTTTATTTTATTTTCAAGCAGCAGTGCAGCTGGTTCCAGTATGAACTGCTTTGACATTTACCTTCAATGAAACCCCACCCCAAAACAAAAACAAAAAAATTTGCCAGACACATGCTGAGCTGGCAGCTACCATATATTTAATGCCCCCCGGACTTGATAAATTTGCTGCACACCATACGCCCCAATTATGTACACAAGGCATTTTTCCCAAATGGAGGAGCTACTAAAAACATTTCCGCATTTTCCTAAAATACTAGAGTTGGGCGTAAATCGTTGTAGTATCAGCGATCTAAATAGTGGTTTGCGGCAAACCAAATCGTCATTGTCTCCGGTTGTACCGGTTACTTCCTCTTTGCCAGAATTGTTGGAAAAAATCCAGAGTTACAGCCGTTCGGGCCTTTGGGAAACCACCACATAAGCCCTTATGCGGCCACACTTCATAAGTTCGTATCGGTTATCCAACTATAGCGAATTTCATTTTATTTTGCATAATTTTTTGATATTTACAAAGTCATGAACCATGAAAATCCACATCCGTCTCCAAAAACACCGTTTGTTGTCCTAAACGGGGCATTTTGTTACTTCGATAAACTTTTGAACGACCGAAACTTTGTGCTCCACAATTCGATCAACATTTTTTTTCGCTGGATAACATTTTTTTTTTTACATTGCATAAATTTTCAAGGATTCCAACTTTTAATAGGAATTTTTTCCCAAAAGATTACATGTTTGTAGATTTATTTAAGAGATTTTGAGAATAACTTAAGATTTATTTTTCACCTCTGCATATATATTATAAAAATAATTCTATAACAAAAGTTAATGTCCTTGAAAGGTTATGCAAAATCGAAAAAAATTAGTGTTGATAAAATAAGTAGAGTGGAAAGTTATATGATCATTCAAAGTTTAGCTGAATCACAAAATGATCGACTTGGGGCAGCAAATGACTTTTTTGGCGACAAAAGTGGATCAAACTGTCTTCGTCTGTTTGCAGCTTCGGAGATCTCAAAAAGTGTTGTGAAGTAATTTTTTACATCGATTGAATACTATAGCACAAAGTGATATGTCAATGAAAATGCAATTGCATTTTTAATTACATTGATGGAAGTCTCAATTAAAACCATGCGAGCTATCATTTATTGCAATTTCATTTGAAATTCCATGTAGACATTTATAGTTTTTATTTTATGTATAGATAAAATAATAAATATATTAAACTTTTATTTTATAAAAAAATAAGTTGTGTCCACATGCACTTGCAAGTTAATTTCATTGATATTTGATGTAGCTAAATGAAAATTATGTGAGTTGGATAACAAAAAAATCGAGGCGGTATTGAAGAGCACAAATGCAATTGTTTTTACAATTTGCATTATGTGTATGCTCTAATGCAATTACGAAATGCAATCCACGTCATATTTTTTATTAAATTATTTTTTTATTTTCGTTTTTTAATTATTTTTATTTTTGTAATTAAATTAAAAACCCAATTACAAGCTAATTATATTGATATAGGTACAATGAAAATAATATTAAATTGCATTAGAGTGAGTATAAAAAATTCGCACACTAGTGAATCCGCTTCCATCTCTCATTTTCACCTTAAAAAAAAACTTCGAGTAAATGCCACATTTGGTCACTGAGATTACTAAATCATGTCATGTTTAGTCACTAGAAAAAATTAATATCAATTTTGGTTACTTGAATTACTGAAACATGTTGCGTGAAAAGAAGGTGGACGTTCTACCTCGATGTCCGGTGTGTTGGGCGGCGTCGGAAACTCTGGAGCATATGTTCTTGGAGTGTCCGGTGGCTCGTGCAGTGTGGGATCATTCGGGGCTAACCCACCTGGGTGAAGGTTTGCCTCGCCATACGTTCCCGCTATTTCTGAAGAAATTGCTAGCTGCGGTGCATGACCCTGCTTTGGTGATGTCTATAGTGGCTGTGCTGTGGCGGATTTGGCGCTGCCGTAATTGGGTCGTCTTTGAAGGCAAACAGCTCAGGATCCCTGCCTTGATGCTGCAAGTCCACCAACAAGTCGAGGAATGGCTTAGTTTACCTCGGGACCAGAATGAGCAGCTTGCGCGCCTCCCGGCCTCTACCTTAACCTTGGATGGAACAACCACGGCTATTTGTATGTGGGATGGGGCTGTGCGGCTGGGATCTCATGCGGCAGGGGGATGGTTATCCTCAATTCCGATAGAGAGATCATCCTTGCGAAGGGGGTTCAGTTCCCGTTCCTTGATAATCCAATGATGGTGGAAGCTCTGGTCCTCCAGGAGGCGATTGGTTGGTGTTTGGCCAATGGATTCACTGTCATGAGGTTTGAAGGTGATGCCCAGGTGATAATTGAGAAGATTCTCCGGAAGGATGTTCGGGATAATCATATAGGGGCAATTCTGGTGGAGATAGTCAATTTATTTGCTTCAAATGTAGGTTTCACTGTTCGATTTGTAGGTCGGCGAAATAATAGGGTAGCTCATTTGGTAGCTAGACAGACACTGTCCTTGTTCCCGACTACTTGTCGATCGTTTGATTTCCGGGCCTGGCTGTATTCCAGGATGTAACGATCTATTGGTTTTAATCTAATGATTATCTTTTGTCAAAAAAAAAAAATTACTGAAACATGTCACATTTAGTCCCTCTTCTGTTAGTTTCCGTCCAACTCTGTTAATGGAGTTGGACGGAGGCTAACGGAGAGTAACTAAATGTGACCTGTTTCAGTAATTCGAATGACACTCATAAAAAAGAAAGTAATTCGAGTGATCGGAGTTGGACGGAGGCTAACGGGAGAGTGACTAAATGTGACATGTTTTTAGTAATTCGAATGATCAAAATTAATATTAATTTTTTCTAGTAACTAAACATGACATGATTTTGTAATCTTAGTGACCAAATGGATAATTTATCCATAAAACTTCCATCTCTCGTTCTTTTTCTTTCTCACGGTCAGGTCAAACCACCACACACGAGACAACGGCTATAAAGCTAAAGCAGAGTGTAGAGCTAGACACTAGAGAGTAGAGACTAGCGTAGTACTAGTACTACACAATTTACTAAGAAAAATAATGAGCCGGTCCGGCCAAGATGAAAAGTTAACCGAATTCAGATTCAGGCCTTATTATATTTGGATTCAGTGACCGGGTGGGTTGGGTCGTTTGGTTAAATGGTATGGTTGGTGAATTTTTGTTTATTTATGTTTTTAGTGTCGGGCATTGCATTGCTGACTGGACAAAATTAAAAGAGTTTTGGATGGAGATAGACGAAATTACCATTATGCATGTCATACTTCGAAACATGTCATTTTGTAACTATTTTGTACTAAACGTGACGCCTAGACTAATTATTGATGGATTAACATAATAAGAGTTACCTGCCTGCTTCCCTCTCATTATTATCATTATTACTTATTGTAAAGCTGCGAAAGGTTAAGAACATGAAGACAATTGAGTCAAAAAGCTAAACTCTGGTTACTAAAAAAACATTATAATTAGGCTAGGAGGATTACATCAATTAATTAACAAGGGGGGTAAACATGAGTGCATTGATCGGCGGATTAGGAAAAATAAACTAGTCGTCGATGTTTCTAAGGCTAACTAACGGCCGTTAGCGAGAGGGCTAACAGCGGAATCTTTGCAGGGGCTCGGAGGCAAGCTGCTCCTCCTCCCACAGGCAACAAGACGTTGCGCCAACTCCTCCAGTCTCTCCCCGTTTGTCTCCGTCAGTAACCGCTTCCCGCCAAACGGCAGCGACTCCACCCCTCTCTCCGTTACCACCTCCTCCGTCCTTCTTCCGCCGCTCGTCAACCCATTTACCTGCAACCACAAATCACGCCGTCAGTCACTCTCACTCTCCCCTGCTGCCTACCACTACTACACTCTGCACTCTGTCAGTTCCCGATTAATGAAAACCCGAAAGTCAAACCTGCTAATTAATTCTCCGCTCATCGCTTTAAAAAATAATTAATAATAATAATATTTTCTTTTCAGTTGCATCGGATTCCGAAACAGAAAACACCCCTCCCCGTTTGCGTGCTGCAATGGAAGAAATCTATGGAGGAAAAAAGAAAGAGACGAGGTTTTTCGTGTATTGCAATCTGTAACCGCACCTGGATTCTGATGTAGTCCGTGCGGTTCCAACAGAAAGCGTTCCCCATCATCTGGTCCACCGTCTCGGCCACGCCGTCCAGCGCGATGCTCACGATCGACGAAGCGGAGCACTCGCCGTTGCGCCGCCGCCGGAGGTTGCCGGCGGTGGACGAACCGTTGCCGAGGGACAGCACGAGCAGATCCTCGACGCCGTTCACCGACGGGAAGTCGCGCTTGTTGTGGAGCACGTGAGTCACCGCGGCCGCCGTCGGGTTGTTCATCACCAATCCGCCGTCAACGGCGCAGCAGGACGTTTTCCCGTCGACGGACTGGAGGCCGAAAGGCTTGAACAGTCCCGGGGTCGCGGTGGTGGCGCGGCAGACCTGCCAGAGCTCGAAGTCGAAGCTGGAGGACTCCGAGGCGTCGGCGCGGGAGAAGACGAAGGGAGCGCTGGTGTTGAGATCGAAGCAGGGGACGAGGAGGGGCTTGCACGTGTCCTTCATCGTCAAGATCTTGCCGTCCTCCTTCCGCCGGAACGCTTCCTTCAGCGCCTTGTCCATGCTCCGCCCGGACAACCGCCGGCCGAGGAGGAACCTGGACCTGAAAAGCTCCGAGTTCCTGTCGGCGAGGAAGGCGGCCGCTTCTCTGGCCGAGAACAGAGGACGGCCGGAACCGTCGTCGGCTGCGAGCATCGAGGCGAGGACGGCTCCAATGCCGGTGCCGGCGACGAGGTCGAAGAAATCGGCGACCCGAGCGTGGGGATCGCCGGTCTTGAGGCGAATCTGGTCCTCCAAGTGGACGAGAGCGGTTGCGGCGACAATGCCGGTGGTTCCGCCGCCGTCGATGCTGAGGACTCTGGTTTTCTTGGCTGCGCCGTCGACGCAGTAGGAGAGCCATTGCTGCTCCAGTTTGGAGAAGATCTCGAGAGTCACCTTGCTGAGTTCCATCTCGTCCGCCATTTCGGAGGCAGGGGAGGGAATAACGGTGGATTGAGAGGGAGAGAGAGAGAGAGAGAGAGGGAGAGGCGTACTTGAAACTGGTGATGGAATTGGTGGAAGGTAAAAGCGAGAAAGCGACGAAGAGCGATGGGGGAACTGGCGCACAGCCTCTCTCTCTCTCTCACGCTTTGTTGCCGGGGAGCATTAATGGCGGGAGTAAGTAGCAGTACCCTTCGTGTCTCCTTCTCTCTCTCTCTCTGCTTGATTATGGAATTGGAATGCAATGCAAGGAAGGTGTTTGTTTTGTGAATAAAAGGGGGAAGGAGGAAGGCGTTTGTTGCTATCTCTGTTTGTTGGTGGCTTGGCTTGTGGGAGGCTCGTCGTTTTAACCGAGGAGGAGGTTGGAATGCACGTGCAACGGCCTGAGCCTGTGAGAGAGAGAGAGAGAGGGGAGGAAAGGGAAGGGAGTAAACAGCCAAAACGCCAATCACGGCTTCGTCTCTTTTATTTACCGTAACTCGGCTTTAACTTTTTTTGACGAAAGCCTCAACTGCTTCTGGGTTGTTGCGGTTCTTTTACTAATTAATTAATCGAATTAGTTTTACTTTACTCACCACACCGCTGTCACGTTTTGTTGCTTTCTGTCAGTTACTGAGTAATTACTCTTTTTTTTTGCGGTTTGATTAATTAATAGAGGATCTTCCCCTTGCCAACACTCTCACAACGGAATGCGTTAGGGTGGATACTAGTTTTTTAGTAACCATTGTGGCTACCTATATCTAAACTCTTCATTAGCTCTTGTTTGACCCGGATTAGTACCGGGGGTTTTGTGTGGAACCTTGATCCGGACTCCCTCGTCTGATCTCCTCGGGAGTGGAAGAAAGAGGGTGTCTTGTGATGTGGTTTTCTTGGAGCGACTTATGTACTATCCGGTTGAGTCCATACCTGATGATACATTGGTGTCTCTTCCTTCATTTCCCGATGAGCTAGATGATGATGGAGATGATATACTTCCCCCCGACTCGCCTCCCCCCGACTCGTCCCCAGGTTCATCGACCTCGGCCTTGTCATCTCCCGGTTCTGTTCCGTTGTCTTCGTCCCCGGAGGATCCTGGTCCTCGTCGCTCACTTCGTGCCACCAAGGGTCAGCTTCCGGTTAGGTACCATGATTTTGTTACTTATAATGTTGATGCTATTGCTGTTCCTACATGTTATAAACAGGCGCAAGGTGGTCCACTGTGGGATGGGGCTATGGATGTGGAAATTGATGCGTTGCATGCAAAAGGGGCCTGGGAGGTTGTTGATCGGCCTCCGCCTCACATTCCAGTTCTAGGGTCTCGATGGGTGTATGCACTGAAGCTCAAGGCCGATGGTAGTCTTGAGAGAGCTAAAGCTCGAGTAGTGGCGCAAGGTTGTGGCCAGGAATATGGTTTGGATTATGATGAAACGTTTGCTCCGGTTGCCAAAATGCAGACGGTTCGTACTCTACTTGCGGTTGCTGCGGTTCGGGATTGGCCATTATTTTAGTTGGATGTCTCTAATGCGTTCTTACATGGAGACTTGAAAGAGGTCGTCTACATGCGTCGTCCGCCTGGGTATAAAGTTGGTCATCCAGATCAAGTTTGCTTGCTCCGGCGATCTCTATATGGTCTCAAACAAGCTCCTCGAGCTTGGTTTGAGAAGTTCCAGTCCACGGTTATGGGGTTTGGTTTTCAACAGAGTCTTAATGATCCGTCATTGTTCACTCATCGGTCTGGTTCTGGGCTTATTGTTTTACTGTTATATGTTGATGATATGATCATTACAGGGGATGATGTGCAGGGGATTCAGCGTCTCAAGCAAGGTCTTCATACATCCTTTACTCTCAAGGAGCTTGGGCCGTTGTCTTTCTTTTTGGGTCTTGAAATTACTCGATCTTCTCGTGGTATTTTGCTGGCACAAAAGAAGTATATCTCGGAGTTGCTTACATCGGCTAAGTTTGCGGACTGTGTTGCGGTTTCTATGCCTATGGAAGCCAATCTCAAGTTGGCTAAGGATTCTGGTCCGCCGGTTTTGAATCCGTCTCAGTACCGGCATTTGGTGGGCAGTTTAATCTATCTTACGTCTACTCGTCCGTATATTTCTTATGCTGTGCAAGTCGTTAGTCAGTTTATGGCTGATCCCAGAGCCGATCATTTATCTGCTGTTCATCGTATCCTGCGTTACCTGCAGGGTACCAGGGATGTTGGTATTTTTCTTCCGTCGACTGGTGAGTTGTCTATTCAGGCCTATTCTGATTTGGACTTTGCAGGGTGTGTTGATACTCGTCGATCGACGACTGGGTGGTGTATTCGGTTTGGGGATGCGTTTGTTAATTGGCGCTGCAAGAAGCAAGATAAGGTGTCCAAGTCCTCCACCGAGGCTGAGTATAGGGCTATGTCGGATCTTGGGTCTGAACTGGTATGGCTTCAGCGGCTGTTGGCTGATTTGGGGATCCACTGTCGATCGCCCATGGCTCTATATGTGGATAACACGAGTGCCATCCAGATTGCAGCAAACCCGGTGCTTCATGATAGGACCAAACATATCAAAATTCACGTGCACTACATCAGAGACCTTGTTCGTGATGAGGTGGTTCGCTTGCACCATGTTGTTTCCGAGGAGCAGTTAGCTGACTTGTTCACAAAGGCGTTTACGCGGTCTCGTCATTGGTTTCTATCTAACAAATTGATGCTACGTAGTAGTCATCAATTTGGGGGAGGCTGTTAGCGGGTGTTGGGTTCGGCCCATTGTTCGGAGCCCACCTGGCCGAACTAAGGGTCTCCTTCTCCTCTTGGGATGGTGTATGTAGAATGCCCTAGGGGAATGTATAAATAGCAACGTTGTATGACGAGAAAGACTACGAAAAACCTAATAATAATTTCAGCTCGGAGAGTTCTAGCTCTCCCGTGGACTAGTCCCGTTATCGGGGAAACCACGTAAATCTGTGTGTCGTTTTATTGTTCTGTTCAGTTCAGTTCAGCTTTCTCAACAGGGTTCACTCTTCTTCAAGGACTCGATCTCATTAGACTCCTCGACGACTCACATCCATCCAGTGCTACTGATGAATCCACTGTTGCTCACAATCACTGGTACATGCAAGATCCACTTCTTCTTCACTCTATTTGTTAGCGAACTAACCACTTGGCCCCAATAACTCGAGTTGTTGGGAAAGGGATAGTTAAGCCTTTTAACCTCTTATACGCCCCCTCAAACGAAAGGCTACCTTTTATACGCCCCCTCAAACGAAAGGCTACCTTTGTCGGGGTTTTTTATACGGTTTGCACAGGTTGAACGTATCATTCCTTGTGCTGCCAAACCCATTAGACTTTTAGTTTGTACAGTTTGGACATCCCATTCCTTGTACTAAACCATTGTTTGCTTAAATTGGGGGTCGTCATGAGGATTCGAAACCATGACCTTTCGGTTTAGGCTCTGATACCATGTTAGCGAACTAACCACTTGGCCCCAATAACTCGAGTTGTTGGGAAATGGATAGTTAAGCCTTTTAACCTCTTATACTATTCTTGCTCTTATGTCCCCAGGTGTTTCTCCTCACTTCATATGGACAAACCTAGACTATCTTGGAGCACATGTTTGCCAGTCAATCGCGGCATTGCATTATCAATCTGGAAAAAAAATCTTGCACGTAAGAGTTAGGGGACTCGCAGTGTCTCTACCTATCTTCAGGCAATGCACACGACCGCACCCGAATTGGCTCTTGTTAACTCTCCGGTGGCTGATGAAGATTTTATTCTTCATCTTATTTATGGTGTCCGTGAAGAATATGGTAAAATATTTGTTGCGATTTGAGCACGAGACACTAAAATTGCATGGAAGGATCTCCATGATAGGTTGTTTGAATACAAAGAAGATCTCACTGCAGCTCGTCACCATTTCCAGCCCGCCCCAAGCACAATTTTATCAAGTGCTCGTGGTCAAAGTTCTTATCATCATGCTACTCCTTGTACCCGTAGCAGCCCTCGTCGTCATTAGCAGCATGGGTCGCTCGTGGAAATACAAGAAGCAACACTCCGTTGCTCATTCTAGCACTGAATCTAAGCATTGTGCAATCGACCCTGATGCCACATAGATGATATGGATCCAGAATTTACTCACCGAGCTTCATCACCCAATCACTTTTGCTCCCAATCTCTTCGGTGACTACCTTGGTGTTGTTAATTTTCAGAAAGTTCGGTCTTCCACTCGTGCATGAAGCATCTCGCTCTCGACTTCCATTTTTTTCTGTGGGCTCGTCCGGTCAGTTGCTCTCATTGTTTGCCATATATCCTTATGTGCAACTGTTATCATATTTGTTGAAGTTATGAAGAAAAATTACTATCTGTGAATGATCATAGATATATAAAACTTGATCCTCGGTTATTAGAAGTCTCGAAGGCATTCAAAGAAGGTTTTTGTGGAGTGGATCGGGTGACAGGATGAAACTTCCTCTGGTGAGTTGGGAGACCTGTAAAGCCCCAATTAACCGGGGTGGTCTCGGGATTATGGATTTAGTGGCCTTCAATAGTGCAATGCTGGGGAAGTGGTTATGGCGCTTTGCCACGGAAAGGGATAGTTGGTGGAGGGATCTAATTGCAGTTAAATATTCGCATCAGCATTCGGAGTGGAGATCCGTGAGAAGCAGGCAGGGGTTTTCGGGGTCGGTTTGGGCAAATATCTCTAAGGATTATGATAATTTCTGGCGAATGGCTAGGATTGATCCCGACAATGGCAGTTGGGTTTCCTTTTGGCATGATTGCTGGATTCCAGGTGTTGTGCTTGCAGAGTCTTTCCCAAGAGTTGCGGCCGCCTCGAGCTATCCGAATGCCAGGGTCTCTGAAGCCATAGAACCCACAGGTGAGAGTTTCTCTTGGTCTGTTCCTTTGATTACTGTTCTGAGAGGGGGGGCTGAGAGGGAAAGGGTTGCACTTTTGGATCTTCTTAACTCTTTGGGCTCCGCCCGTGTGACTAACGGGCCTCCTAGGCCGATTTGGCTTCCCTGCCCGGAAGGCTACTTTTCTGTTCGTTCTATGTACAGGTTTTTGATTGATGAAGAGCACATGGGTACTTCCGAGTTCCCGTTCGAGTCGGTTTGGCGGCAATTGATCCCCACAAAGATCTGCTTCTTTGTGTGGTTAGTGGCTCACAAACGGATTCTCACTTTGGACAATCTCAAGGCAAGAGGCTGGCATCTGGCCAACAGGTGCGAGCTTTGCGGTCGGGATGAAGAAAGCATCAATCACATCTTCTCTTTGTGCCTTTTCGCCGAGGAGGTGTGGAGCAGATTGCAGAGGGCTTGCGGATCCATCGAGCACCCCACTAGTAA